GTAAGTAAAGGTTTTCCGGAACTAGCGCTGCTCGCCCCCCGCCGTGTTCCCGCCTCCCGGGGCGCAGGCTCCGTTCTCGCTGCGGCCGCGCCACGGCTGCCGCCGGCGACTCCTCGCTGTCCGTGCCCTTGCGTTACCTGTGCTTCTCGGAGCTTTCCGTGGCCGAGCCCGGGCCTCGCGGATGCCGTTTCACACAGTGATACTTGTGTTTATTGACTCGCCTTTGCTCTTTTTTCCTTTCCTATTTTTCCTCTGCATTTCTTTGCTCACGTTTGAGATCATTTTTCTTCTGCCCCTTGTATTTCTCTTGGTGTGGTCCGCTGGTGATACGTTCTTCGAGATTTTAAGTTTGTTGTTAGCTTTGCATTTTGAAGGCTATTTTTGCTTTGTATAAAGTTCTAGCTTAATAGTTAACTGTCTGCCAGAGGTTTGACGATGCCCTTCCACTGTCTCCGGCTTTTCATTGCTTATTGTCTCTCTTCGAACCTGGTTATGTCTCCACGTTGCACCTGAAGTGTTGGGCTATTTTCTCTGGCTGCTCTGAAGATTTTCTTTCTCCTGCGTTTCTGCAGTTTTACTGTGATGTGCGTAGATGTGAGTTTCCTTGATCCTGCTTTAGTTTCTTTAGAGTTTCTTAAACCTGTGGGGTGATACCCTTAATTAGCTTTGGAAAAATATTAGCTCCTATGTCTTGAAATGGCATGTTTAATTCCTTAATTGTCTCACGTTCTTCTCTTTTCAGAACCTAAGTGTTAAAATGCTTTTTCCCCCGTCTTCCCCTGGCGGCTGCTCCATCTTTGTATCAATGTTTTGTTGTATACTGTTTGGTTTTCTGTGTAGACTTTGTTAACTGTTCAGTTGAAAGTATTTGAACATTTCCATTATGGTGTCTTGCTTTTGCGCAGAATGCCCATGTTGTCACTGTTGGGTGCAGGGTACAAGGTCTGTTAGTTGTGTTGTTCAGTATTTTTACTAAACTTCTGCCTTCAGGTCTGTCAGCTTTTGGGAGAGGTGTGTTGAAATATTCCACTAGGTTGCTGGTTTTGTCCGTTTCTCCTTGTAGTTCTAACACTTTTTGCTTTATATACTTTGAAGCACTTCGTTAGATACACGTAAGTTGTTAAATTTTTTTTCTGGTGAGTCAAACATTTTGTCTTTCACGCCTTTCACAGTTAGTGATTTTTGCCTTAAATTAATAGTATAATCCACTAATAATCTGATACCGTCTTTGAGCCGCTGGTTTTATTTATTGTGGGCACCAAGGCATGCTAAGGTATTGCTGTCATCAGTTATTTAGTGCTTTTACTTTCTTCTATCCACTTCCTCTTTTCAGAACCTCTGGCAGTAAAAACTCCATTTCTGTGACACTTGGCATTGACCCTTTATGCCCCTGCTGTCTCTAACCTGAGCCACTGAGAAACCGGAGAACACTTCGTGGTTAGTCACGTCCCTCCCACCTTTTCATGCCGTTTGTATCCAGTATTCTTACTTTCTTTAACCTCCCAAATAAGAGTTTATTATTGTTGTGCTGTCTAGTCGGTGTTCGTTTTGATTTGCCCACGTGTCTCAGTCAGCCCAGGCCGCTACAACAAAGCATCATCGTAGACCAGGTGACGTAAATGGCAGACACTCACCTCTCACAGCTCTGTGAGGTTGCTGTGAGAGGCTGCAAGTCCAAGGCCAGGTGCCGGCTGATCCACTTTCTGGCGAGGGCCTCTTGCCGTGTCCTCCCGCAGCAGAGAGAGCCGTCTGGAGTCTGGTCTTCAAAGGCCATTCTTTTGGATCAAGGCCCCACCATACTGACCTCATTTAACCTTAATTACTTCCTCACTCCCCATACATCCACACTGGGGAATAGGACTGCAACATACGAATTTGGGGGGACATGGAAAAAGCCTTTATTTAAGTGTTCAAATCCAGGCTAATTTCTAGTTAGTGTCTTTTAACGCTGCAGAGCTGTCACTGTCTGGTCCTCTGCCTCCTGTCGAACCGACGTCTGCACAGGGTGTAACTGCTGTTCCCTTGAAGACATGTCTTTTCTCTCTGGCAGCTTTTGGGATTTTCTCCTGGCTTGAAATCTGGACGTTTTACTCCAGGTGTCTCAGTCCAGGTCTGTGGTGATTCCGTGACCGGAGTATTCATGTCTTTTCCTTCAGCTTCCTGGCTCCTTCCCACACACGAACTTTGCGTGTGCTTCTGGCCACAGCTGTGCTGGGTCACGGGAGGAAGTGTCTATCCTCCCTGTCGGGGTTGCGGCCGCTGCCCTGGTCCTATGCTGTCCTGCCTGCACGGGGCCCTCACTGCACCCACTGGGCCATCACCTCCTGCTTCCATCCTTCACTCGTGCTTCCCACTCTTAGCAGATAAAGGCTCCCAAGTCTTGACATTCAGAGCGCGGCACCGACGTTGACCCTTGATCTGTTTTTTCTAAATACCGCTCTCTTACCGTCTCCTCCATTCCACAGTGAGTTTTCTAGAAAGAGTATCTGTCACACTGGTGACAACATGTGCCCCAGTTCACTTGGACTCCTCATCCTGCCATAATTTGATGTTTCCCATTGTCTAGTCACTGAAAGGGCTCCTCACCAGATCACCAGAGACCCCCCAGATCCAAAGTTAGGAATTCTCCACACTCACACGTCTCAGCCTCCCAGTTATTTCACGCCCCACACAGCCACCCTCCTTGTGAAGAGACTGCAGTGTCAGGTTGCTGTGGGAACTCAGGTAGCTGACCTTTTGCTCCTCTGGCCTGCCCTCACAGAAGGGCTGCTCCCCAAACTCCAGTCCCAGGATGTGAGTCAGGACAGACCCAGGTGCTGTTCTGGGCACAGGCAGGAGCAGCAGGGTGTGAGCACAGAGCGTGTGCCTGGAACAGGGGTGGGCCCACGGTAGGAACCTAGCAGGTGCTGGAAAACTTCTCCAGGCCTGGAGCTGCCAGTCAGCCCTCAGGGGCCCTTCCCACCCGCTGTCCCCCTGGACAGACCTAGGCTTCTGGTTTAGAGGGTCTGGATGTGACCAAGATGGCCCTCCTCCCTGCCTCAGGGATGGCACAGAAAGAAACCACCCTCTGCCCGCCCCACTGTGCCTCCTCCTGGGGCCACTGAGACCCGGTCTGCAAAGCTCTCAGGTGGCAGCAGCAGTCTCTGAGTCAGACCAGGTCAGGGCTGGCCAGAGCACGCGGGCAGAAGCTGGAGGGGAAGGTGAGCAGCAGATGGGGCTGGGCCGCACACTGCAGGGAGAAAGCATCTGCCTTGTGCAGAACCTCCAGCCTGACTTTTCCACTGTCTAGGGGGCTGCATCTCACCAGGAGACTGCGTAAAGGCTGAGCCTGCTGCTGCCTACCTGCCTACCAGGCTCAGATGTGGGACAAATGTCCATAGGAGGGTTTGTGAGTCCATGCACCTCTGCCAGTTGACAGGTGAAGTCCAAGCTTATTCAGCAGAATTCCTCATTTTCTGTCTCCTGGAATCTGGCGGCATGAGCTGAAGGGGGAGCAGCCATAGGTCCCGTGGCTGGCCGCAGAGGGCCATCCCGAGGTCCTGTCCCATCCCCTAGACCGAGGAGGATCTCAGTCCAGGGATGTCTTAGGCCCATATTATTCTGACTCCTGGCAAGGGGTAGAAATGTCAGCACTGCTCTTCACAGCAGTGGGGGCAGGGTCTCAGGCCCTCCCCTCCATCAATACTGAGGCCCCCCAACGTGCAGAGTCAAGAATGACTGTCAGCAATGAGCAGTCACAAGGCTGGGTTTCAAAGAGAAACTTGTAAACAGAATCACTGTGGGGAAGGTTTGGACTTGCTCTAATTCCAGCTGCTGGCTAGAGCCCCCCACCCGCTCACCCCATTTCCAAGTCCCTGGAAAGTCAGACCACCAGTGAGCTAATCCATGGAAAACAAGTTTAATGCAACAGGTGCCAACCATCTGCAAGTCGGCTTCATCACGGCAGCCTGAGGCCCAGGAGCGCCGACACCAGTGCCACGAGAGTCACCAGCCTGGGGCTGCTGCCCCGCCCGCCTGGGGCCCCTCCCACCTCTCGGTATTTATCTTCCGAGTTTTCCTCGATGACTGGTTTCTCGACGTTGCACAGGTTCTCCCTGCAGCACGAGATGAACAGGAAGGGCGTGGGCTTTACGAGCACAAACGACTTGGCTGTCCGCATCCCCGGAAAGCTTAACGCACAGTACTTCATGCATTGCTTTGAAACATAGAAGAACCGTGGAAAAACTCCTGATGGGAAATAGAGACAGAGGAAGCACATGAGTTGGAGGCGGCAACATGAGCAGTTTCCGTCTGAAATCTGTCCAGCCCTGCCCCTGCCGGGAGCACTCTCAGGCCCTACTCAAAGAGGGCACCTGGCCAGGAGTCGGGAGGAGAGTCAAGCCTTTGCGTTCAGAGTTGCTTCTGGGGGGCTGTGGGGTGTGGCTGGCGTGCAGTGTGGCACCAGATGCCCCCAGCCCTGGCCAGTCTCCGGGCTCGGGAACCTGGGCCTGAGGGTCTCTGGCTCTTTAAGCCTCAAGTTCTCAAGTGAGGGTGGCTCAGGCCTTTGGGACCACAGACAGTTGCACAGGAGCAAGGGACTCCTGGCCATCCTGGCCACGGCCCAGCGCTGGGAGCCAGGCCAGGCCCAGGACTTCACCCTGTTGCACGAGTCTCCAGGCCGCCGCGGCTCCATACTGAGTTACGTGACATGAGGCTGCAGGGAGACTGGCGCCTCAGCCAGCCCAGCACCCCGCACGCTTCCCGGGACATGGAGCCCCAGAGGGAGCTCACTTCTCGGGCCCCAGCAAGGCCGCGGCTGGGTCAGGCGGAGCCTTCAGACACCCCCTTGGGAGAGAGTTCTTCATGAGGCCAGAATCCTCAGGTGAATGACAGATGACAGAGTGGCAGTCTCCAGACATTTTAAAGCACGCCCACTCTTTTCAGAACATGTGCAACCCACGCCCCTTATTATATACATCTCTCGTAAAGCTATTCTCCAGCCACCTGAGGTCAGTAAAGCTTAATTTTTCACTCAGAAGTGAATGAAAATGAATCTCCACCAACTTCTCCCTGCCTGTCGCTGCTGCACGCTGGCCAGGGGTCGGGGCTGTGGCCGGACATGGGCTCTGCTGGCACTCGCGTCAGTGGGGTCACCTCCAGCCCCTGCCTGCACGCCTGGCTTCACAGGACCCTGCTCTTCCAGAGTAAACAGAGGCTCACTTTTATATCAGCTGTTCTCTGTTGAGGACACAGACAGACCCCAAGCCCTGAGTGCTCTGCTGAGCTGCCTGGGGAGCCCCGTCAGGGGCGGGGCTCATACTCACTCACGGCAGCAGTGGAGCAGTACTCAACGCCCCGGTCACAGTCCATTGGGTGTTGGCAGTTGAAACTGTTCTCTATCTCACACACGTGACACCTCAGCCGTCCTGAAACAAGGCATCGAGGCATAAGGAGAGTGGACCCTGCAGCCCTCTAGTCCGTTCAGACAGACAACAGCCCTCTTTTCCTCCAAGCGAGCACCGCCAGTGGGTCCCTCCAGCTCCCCGCTCCCCACAGCCTGCCCCATCCCCTGAGTTCCTCTGCTCCTCTCCTCTCCTGGCCTCCCCCAATCCACCCACAGGCTATGTCTCGGCCACACCCCCACGCCCAGACACCCTGCACCAACACGTTCTTGCACTCTCACACCAGACACACACACTCACAGCCTGGCACAGGAACACTGCGCCCCACGTCCACACACAACACTGACATATCTCCCCTCCAGGTACTCTAGAAAAAGGGACGCCAGGGCTGTGCAGTCTGCTCCCAAAGGTGCCCTTTCCACCCGCTTCCTGGCCCACCCCACTCCTCATCCCCGAGGCCTTGCGTCCACCCTGACCCCAGAGCGGCAGCCTGCTGGTGGGTCTACGCTGGGGCAGGACTCACTCCCCGGGGGAGAAGCAGGTGACACTCCAGCAGCTTTCCTGTTCTTAGAGACAGCCCCAGGAGGCCCACGTGGGTGGGGGCAGGCTTGGCCTCTGCCAAGAAGGCAGGGCCATTGTGGGGCAAGCTGGGTGCTGGGGAATAAACCAGCCATCCCTGCCTGCCCTTGGGGGGCCCACATCCAGAGGCCCCCCACACTGGGTGTCCATGTCAGCCAGCCACCCTCCTAATGCCCACTGAGTCCTCTGCTCTGCAACTGCCCAGACCCACGTGGGGCCATGGCAGCATCCAGATATGGAGGCCACCCCTGTGTCTGCATTCCAGCCCACCTCCTCCTCCCAGCCCAGGAGGCCGAAGGCCGCGCACTTACTTTGTCTTCCAGACACGGTAATGTTGGTCTCCACCCACGGCATGCCCATGACCAGGAGCAAAGCAAGGAGGACCGTCATTTCCAGTGATGCCTGGTCCTGGACGTGAGGAGTGAGCAGGGCCACTTGGTCAGCCCTGTGGCTCCAGGGTTAGACCCAGCTCCTGTGTGTCCACCACCACTTAAAGCCCTTCCCTGCTGGACACTGGGGCAGACCCTTTCCTCACACTTGGGCCCGGGGCCGGGTGTGGCCTCTGGGTGTTGGGCATGTTACTACCACCAAGTCCCCTCTGTCCCCAGGGAGCCCCCATCCCCTGGAACTCTGGGCCCTTCCTCACCCATGTCCCAGCAGACCTGCTCAGTGGGTGTTCTGCTGCTGTTCCCTGAAGGCTGTACCAGGTTTCCCTCCTCCTGTCCCCAGCCCGCTGCTGTGAACTCCTGCTCTCTCAAGAGTCCCCATGGGGTCCCTGCCCACCCAGCGCCATCTCCCTCTCCATCTGTGGCCAGGTCACCACCGGTGCAGCCTGACCCCGGGGCACAGGAAGGCTTGGGTACCCCTGCAGTGCCTGGCCTACCTCAGGCCGGCTGCAGCCCCACCGCCCGCGCACCTGCCCCTGATGCTGACGCCGGCCCTCCTCTCGCAAGGCCCCCCGAACTCATGCCCCCAGGCATGCCCACTCCGCCCCCTTCCAGGCTGCCCCGCTACCCCTTCTTCAGGAATGTTCCCCAAGTTCCCCCTGCTATCTGGCAGGTGGGGGTCAAAGGGGAGAGGGGTCGGCCCCCTCTGGGTGGGATGCACACGGGGAGAGGGCACCGGGAGCCCACAGGTGCTCGCGGCCTGTCCCCTCCTGGGCCCCGCGGGCCTGCATGCTGGTTTCTCCCAGGTCATGGCCCCAGAGGAGCGCACGGCGAGCTGCTCTCCTCCCGCAGCCCTCCCGGCAGGCCCTCCTCCGCTGGCCTGGCCGGCGCCTCTGCCTCCACAGGGGAGCGCTCCTGGTTTGGGTTCTGGTTGTGAGGGTGGGCGGCAGAGCATGCTGCGGCCTGGATGTAGCACAGTGTGTTCGCACAGCCTGCTCCGATGGGCCTTGTGGTGTGGCCAGCGCGTCGCACCAGACAGAAAGCCGCACGTCACGCCTCACGCGTGCGGGTCCGCGGGAAGAAGGCTCCCGGCGACGAGGCTGCCTGCCGCCGGCTCCTCTTTTTTGTAGTCCGGATGCGTTTGCCCAATAGCCACCTCCGTTTCGTCCTTCCACCTTTGAGAAGTGTGAGTGCCTGTTCCCGCAGCACCGTCAAAAAGAGCGTGTCCTCCTCCCTTTGGATTTTCACCGATCCAGTGGGCAAAAACTGTGCCCTGTAGTACGAATTTGCATTTCTTTAATTATGAGTGACGGTGAGCAAGCTTTTGTATTTCAGGTGGGTACTTCTATTCCTTTTTCTGTGTTCTCTGTTCTAGTCTGTGCCCAAATACTTTTCTGTCGATTTCTTTATGGACCATAACAGTAGTCAGTTCTCTATGATAAAAAGGCAGAAAAACTTTTTTCCTATTCAATACAGGTCTTGGCATTTTTGCAGAGCAGAAGTGCTTGCTTCTTCATGGTCGAAGATAAACAAAGCCAGACACTAGTTAAAAGTAGTGAGGATGGATTTTAACCATGAACATACTTCTTCGGTGGGGAAGAGAGCCGGTGTGAAGCGACCTCCACTTGGATTGACACAGGCGTGACTGGGCATTTCAAAGCGAGAGTGAGGGAGCAGAGAGGTGGTGAGGGGGGCTCAGCAGAGTCAGGGAAGTGAAAATTCCCACAGCAGGAACACAAGGTTGGTCCCTGTGTTTGCTACCTGGGCCGGCTAACTGGCACTTACTGACGGTAAGCCCCTGCCCCCTCCCAAGGGGGCTGGGAAGGGGGGGCCATCTTCAGGTGCCAGCTGGCACGCAGCTCGGGCAGCTGTGAGTTTTCTCAGGCTGTACTCTGAGGCAAGCGGCAGGGACAGGGTTGGGGAGGATCACCCCAGGGATGTGGCCTGGGGCTGTCAGAAGTGACCTCAGCAACTGCTCAAGTCTTTACAGCCAAGCTTGAAGCCTAGCTGAGAAACTGCTCAGAGAAGCCTGGCTGGAGTTTGGTCAGGAGAGGATCTTTGTCACCGCCTTTTATTTTACGCTTTTGGATTCTGAGAGGTAGTTAAAAAAAAAAACAACCTTCCTCCAAACAGGTGATAAATGAATTCTTCCATATTTTCTTCTGATAGCTTTACCAGAAGTCTTCTTTTCCTTTTCCTTTTACTGTTTAAATCCTTGATCCATTTGGAACTCCTCCTTCCACGTTGTGTTTTTTCAGATGGCGGCCCAGTTAGCTTGACTCCATCATTTAGAATGGCCATTCCGTCCACTATTGACCTGATATGCTCCTCACGCTGTCTTAATTCCACCTGGTTCTCTTTGTGGGTTGTATCCTTCCAGTTGCTTTGTGTGTCCACACGTCTGCGTGGCAGCGTGTCGGTGACTGGGCCCTCGGAGCACCCTGGAAGGTGTGGGTGGCCCTCATCATGCCTTTCAGGATTTATTGTTGCTTGAGTCTTTTTCGGTCTGCCTGGTTAGGAAGTAGAAAGCCGCAAGAGAACCTGTCTCCCCCTTGAACAACCACAAATACAACTGCAAGAAGAGAAAACCAGATAAACCACAAATGTCTAATTTATCAGCCCACCAGGGAGCTGAGGTCGCAGCGTCACCAGATGAACAGAATTTTAAAGAGCAGTGAGCACTAAAAAGTGGAGAGAGACACCATGTTCCTGGACCGTAAGACTTTCTAGTGCTAAGATGTCAGTTCTCCCTAAATGGGTCTGTAGATTCATCATGATCTCAGTCAGAATCCCTGGAGGTGTATTTTTTTAACATAGAAATTAACAACTGATTCTAAAATTTAGGTGGAAAAGTGAAGGCCGTAGAACAGCCAAAATAATTTGGAAAAAGGAGCAAAGCTGGAAGGCTGAAGCTACTTGACTGTGAGACTTACTAGAAAGCCTCAGTGACCAAGCAGGGTGACGCTGCAAGAAGCTCAGACGCGCCATCGCGGAAGAGAGCAAAACAAAGAGCTGAGAAACAGACCTGCATGCGCGATCAATGGCCTTTAGACAGTGGCGCCAAGATAATACAATGAAGAGAGGACCGCTTCTGCAATAAGTGGAGCTGCGTGACCATATGCAAAAAACAAGTCAGGAAAAAAAAGAGAAACATAAACGTGACTTTCCCCTTACCTCACATCATTTAGAAAGATCCATTTGAAGGAGATTACAGATCTAACCATTAGCTATAAAACTTATCTAGAGGGGAGAGTATAGCTCAGTGGTAGAGCGCATACTTAGCATGCAGGAGGTCCTGGGTTCAATCCCTAGAGCCCCCATCAAATAAATAAATAACAATAATAAATTAATTGATAAACCGAATTACCTCCCCCTCCAAAAAAGAAAAAAGACTTATCTAAATACAAAACCAGAAAGCTTCTAGAAGGAAATAGGAACAATTTTTGCAGTCTTGAGTTCTCCAAAGAATTTTTAGATAGGACACAAAGCAGGAATCATACGAGGCAAACTGCTGCAGTTTGTAGGGGAAAGAATGCTGACATCCGTAGCTCAGCTTAAAATGACTCAAAAGATGGTCTGAGTTAAAGAACGGCTGCAGAAGGAGCGGGAGACAGCTCAGTGTAGCGTGCACGCTCAGCATGCACGAGGCCCTGGGCGTAGACTCCAGTGGTAGGTGTCCTTGAATGCACTGTGAGTTCTTTCAGCTTTACTGTTTCAAGTATTTTAAATAAAATGCCAGGGATGAAAAACGTGCGGTACACATTCTAGCCCAGATTCAACCCATTATGAGAATCATGCACAGAGCAGAAAATATTTGAACAAGAGGCTGAATTCTAGAGTTAGAGACTGAAGGTCCTGAATCTGACTGCATAGCCCTGGGTGGGGGAATCTAAGGCTTCTGCAGGGCACAGGTGGAACGGGCTGGGGATGGGATTTAGACTATTTTTGGATTGCTAGGCACAGTATTACGAGGTACAGAGACTTCTGTGCGGATAAAGGCATAAGAACACGGTTAAGTCAATGAGCATTAAAACAGGTGGCCCTTCCCACTGCTTCGGCTGCCCCGATAGAGCAAAGACAGCGCGGGAAGGAAACCAGAGGACGGGAGAACTGGGCCATCGGGGCCAACTTCGCTGACGCCTTCTTCTCACTCCCAATTCAGGCAAAATGTGTATTCTTTGCAAATGAAACTCATCTTACATTTATAGTTTTTCCACAGAAGTGTTTGAACTTGCCAGCATACGTGACAATCCAGTGCGTTGGGTCTCTGATCAATAACCATCGTGAATTAGGGAGTAGCTGCACTAGTAATACCGCGTGGGTGAGTCCGCTCCAAACAGGTGCGATAAGGAGCCTCATTTGGTGTGAACTAGAAAGAAACCACGTGAGGAGATCTCTGGAAAAAAGATCCTGGGGATTATTTTGGATCCCGTATTACTCTGACCCGACCCACCCCTACCCCATTCCAGCGCGGAGGTCAGGAAAGGGTGTAGAGGGCCAAGTTCCGCGGCCGCCGGTAGCCTGCTCTCCCTCTCTGCTGAGGGCAGGAAAGCGACGGCCTGGTCAGATCTCCGCGCTGCCCTCCTGACTCACACGCTGATGGTGCTGACTAACTGAAAGATAAGGGAATGTCAGGTCTGCGAATTGTTGTAGCCTGAAATGCCCGATACTCCTAGGGGCTTAATTTAAATAAACGTAGAATTTACAAGGCATCAGTGTATGAGCTGGAAGTTGGGGAGCCTGAAGACTCAGGGGAGGGGATGCTAGGTGGGGTCCAGGTGGGGCAGGAATCTCCGTGCTGAAGATGCCAGGTGGGTGCAGGGGACCATCCGTCCCAGGGGAAGGTGGCGATATACAGCACCGGGCAGGGGGTTGACGGGGACGCCCGCAGGAGGGATTGATAGGTGGGCAGAGGAGGCCTTGGGACCCCAGGGCAGGGATGCTATTATGTGGGACGGAACAGACGGGCGGTGCTACCGGGATCTGTGACCCCTCCTACAGGGGAGCAGGGCCGAGCCCCGAACCCACACACACTGACCTGAGGCCCAGTCTGAGCCTTCAGCGCTGCCCTCACCGCCCTGAGTCTT